CCACGTCCATGTTGAGATACATCAACTTTCCTTGCTTCCGGCCAGTTGCCAGAGGAACATCGCCACGCTTCACCACACACTGGTTCTTCGTCATGACGACTGTCATCCCGCGCTCTGCCACGGCTATAAGCGAGAACAGGTTCTTGTTCAAGTCTTGCACGTGCAGCGTGTTCTCGAGGCGCGCGTTGATCCACGAGCGTCCACTCCACGCCCGTAACACCACCGTCCCATAGCCGAGAACTTTCAGGTTGGCACTGCTTTTTGCACTTGATACGTTGCGTGAGGTCTTCATCTCCGTGTAGTCCTCAAACGCCTCTCGCGTCCTGCACATGTGTGCCGACACCCCACTGTCCATGACCCAGCTCTCACATGAAAACCCCTCGGTTACGTTGAACGCCACGTTCGACTGGTCTTGGACACCTTCATTGGAACTTGCCTTGGAACGGCAGTCCCTCGCATAGTGGCCTACCTTGCCACAATTGAAGCACGCCCCGGATGGTTTCTTTCGCCCTCCGTGTTGCTTCCTCTTCGACTGCTTGTCCTTGCCCTTGTTTGCGAGCAGCGCAGTCGCTTCTTCAATGCGCGTCGAGTCCTTCTGACGCACTTCCTCCGCAATAAGCTTGCTCACCAGGTCTGCAAGCTTGAACTCACTCACTGACATGCGAAACGCTTGAACCAGGCTCTCGTAGCTCGCTGGCAGACTCTGCAGCATCGTCGCGCATACGTCTTCTTCGCTTGGCTCGCATCCGGTGTTCTTCATCTCCATCACCAGCTTCTCCAACTCCGTCACATGCATGCTGACCGAGGCTGCAGTGAACTTGAACGCCGAGAACTTCTCCTTGAGCCACAGCCGGTTCGTCATATCTTGAGTCTTGTGGAACGTTTTCAACGTGTCCCACGCTTCCTTCGCAGTTGTGGACGTCACCACGTGCATCAACTGCGAGTCGTTGAGGTTGAGCACAATCGCCGCGTGCGCTTGCTGCTCCTTCGTCGTGGTCACTCCGGCCTCTCCGGTGACCGCCTCCCACAATCCCTTGGACATCAGGTACATCTTCATCTTGTAACTCCACAGCGTGTAGTTGGAGCCGTCGAATGGCTCAACCTTGAACTTGGTGTCGGTACTTGGGCTCATAACCAAAAGGAAGTTGGACTACGAGCGGCGGAGCGTTGAAGGGATAGAAGACGGCTTCGGG